TGCCAGAATAATGATGCCCATTATCCAGCACGTGGTTGGTTTTGTTAAATACTTTTCTACGTCTCGCTTTGTCCTTTCCCTACATGAAACCAAGATACATAAAATACAAATTTATATCAAACAATATTATAATGTAGGACACTATTACTACGGCTCTTCACTCCGATGCAAGTGTTGTTGGTTGTTGTCAAATAAATGCATCAAATAAATGCAATTGTTGGTTGTTGTCAAATAAATACTTTATTTCTTTCACAATACTGATATGCTAAATTCCGCACCAATTATTTTACCAAATCATACACACAATTGAAAAAAATTCTTTGTCTAAAATCTCATCTTTTCCTTTCCCACCCTTCTTCCTTTTCCCTAACTTTTTCACAAAATCACACACTAAAAACGTCCATATAATTCTAAGTTCGAATTTGAGAAAAATCTTCATGTGTTTAAACTAAAATAAAGTTGAAATTTGAGAAAAAAATTCGAATCGGTATGAATTTAAATACTTAAAAAGGCATAATGAAATTGAAAAATATTAAATAAACCTAAACTAACTTTTCATGATTATTCACGTGAAAGATTAACGAATTTTAAGTAAGTTGGAAAAAATCATCATAGAAAAAAGTTAGAGAGAATATAAATAGAGAGAGATTTGTTTTTTAAATTTATGTGTGATTTAGTAAATTTTAGTGTAGGATTTAGCATGCCCCTTCACAATAACTGTCTCTTTTTTAAAATATTTTTGTTTCATATTATCTGTCACTTTATATTTCCAATACTGCATTAAATGTATTTTTCCTGTTTTAACCTTATTAATGCATCTCTATACATTAATTCTCTCTTATAAATCATTTAATGATAAAGGTTGTTTTAGTCATTTTTATGTGATTTTTCTAAAATCAAGCTACATTTATTAAATTTCTTAATCTTTGTGAAAAGTGAAAAACAACACTTATTTAGGAACGGAGGGAGTAATAAATTAAGAATTTCATTTAATTACAAGTATAAAGACAATCCAGAAACGATAAATCAACGGTGGATTGAAGGGGTGGCGGCATTGGTAGCAGGGATATTGAAGTTTTTTTTTACCATTATCGTGTACCAAGCGTAACTTATGGTAATGAGAAATTTCGTATAATTATCGTACCAAAATATTCGGTATACCCTTACTTTTGGTACAACACCATAGTACATGATATTCTACTATTATCTTTTATTAAGCTAAAATTTGATTAAAAAAAATCTTGTCAATTTTACCTGCAAATGGATTTCGTAATATGTTAACGTCTTCATATATTTATTGAGCCAAACATTACAATTAATTTTACGACGTCACATATCGCAAATTTATTGCCCATTAAATCAGAAAACTTACATGTAATAAAATAAAGTATTAGAAATTTTTTTTTTTAAAAGATAAAGTTATAAATATTATGGTATAGAAAATAAAGGAAAACAAAATAAATAGAAAATATAGTACGGTACGGTATTACCATAGTATTGAGAACACAATCACTACTGTATCAATCATTTGCGGTACGGTACGAATACCGTATCGAATGAAATGGTAACCACTACTTTTGTATTTTTTTTTGGTCATTTTCGATTGATATACCGTAGTACTTGGCAATTGGTAATTTTTTTCACCCCTAATGGATTGTACTAGCAATGTTCTAATGACAATATTTCGACGCCATCAATATTGCACCGTATTTGCCCTAATATTTTAAATCCACATCGAACTTGAATTCTGAACAAAATTTTGACATAAAGAAGAAAAATTAAGTA